TGTAACAACCATGTTTCCGATAAAAATAACACCTCGCGAGACAAAGATTCCCTCCGTCGTTTCCCCGTGCTTTCTTTTCACCGCAACCGTGAACGTTCCACGAGTCGAGCCATTATTTCATTGACAGTCAACGAGTCTGCCGCGTTTCCTGTTCATCTCGGTTATCTTCGCGAGCCCGACGAATATATGTATACATTTCGAGCCAACGCACGACCGATCTCTCGGAAAAGCATCGAACGACGGTCGTGATTCCGGACTTCGTGATTTAAACTTAAACGTTCGAAAAGATCACGCAACACCGGTCGAACGAGTTGAGAAATAGCGGCGCTAAATTTTAAGGTCCTAATAAAGATTGCTCGTAAATGTTTTTTTTGCTCCGTTTTCCCAATAAAGCGCGCGGCGACGGCGGCGCGCGTTATCGATTCTTTTTTCTCGTCGCGGAGGACGAGCCCCGCGTAAGACCACGGTCCGACCGCAAGCTCGTTACGCCTGTCGGAAGTATAAATCAACCGCAAAGTTATTCCGCCGTGCTGTCGGGAACTCCCCGCGGGCCGAGACTTCATGAAAACCGCTACCACCTTCTTATAAGCGACATCGCTCCTCCGAACGTATACGTGTGTCCCAACGATTCGTTGCGCGTTCGATACTTACGATCCGTTACGATAACGACGATTTACGGGGAAATAGGCGAACCGAACCGTTTCGATAACGAACAACCCGATCAACTTCTATTCGTCACCCGTCAAATTCCTTCAGCCGTCCAAGACTCGTGTGTCGAAACAAAAGTTCCACGTGACTGGCTGCCGTCGCGACGGAGAATCTTCACCGTCCTCGCGGCGACGCTCGTACGCAGCCTATCGTCGATGCGCGTGAACAAATTAGCGATGCCTCTTGTTTTTCTCCGTTCAGCCTGCAGACGAAGCCGATGCGAGAGTATACACGTGTCGAGACGCGACCGGTAATAAAAGAACCTTCATAATACCCTGAGAATCTAATTGTGAGACGAGAGCCCCGGGCACGAGAAGAGGTAGCGTTTTCTCGATAACGAAGGAAAAAATGATCATAATGAGCCCACCAGGCCCGCCGCGCGAGTACAGTTAGTCGCAATAACACACCTGTGGGGGCGGCGGGGACAGAGGGGAAAGATTATTGCTTAATAAAGTAATGAGATAAGGGAGCGTTGCACCGGTAATTGCAAGCAACTGGCAACATTGTCGTGCCGTAATACGTAATCGCAGATCCGATGCGATCTAATAATTATTCCGCCGTTAATTCTATCAAACCGTCCAACGTTACTCCGAATGTTTCTGGAATAATTCATCACGCGATCGCACGAAAACAATTCTAGCTAGACGCTCGCGAACTCTTCGAAACCGAGCTTCTTCTTCCTAATCTCGCCGAATTGAATCGAATCGTTCACCTGTTTTTCAGTTTGACCCATCCAACGCAATGTCCGTCTATTTGTCCTCGCGACTGCAACGAAAGACTTGTCGGCGGAGGCTCGGGCTAAAGGGCGGTCCGGGCGAAACGTGCGCCGCGGAATACGGTTTTCGTGAGAGCGTGACTTCCTTCGTTCCCACGGGACCCTTGGGCCCGAGTTTTGTCCCGTGATCGGAGGCACAAACCGGCGGCTGAGTCGGAGAAAACGAGCGAGTATCCTTCGAGCGGACGAGGCCGGACGTTCGCGCACGCACTCGTGACGAACAGACGACAGGCACGTAGAACCCTGACTTCTACGTGTATCGTACAGTCCCCGCCAGGAACTCGTCCCGTCTACGGTCCATTGTCCGCCTACTAGTTCTCCAAGCAGTCCTCGTTCTAAACGATACTCACGTCGTTCTCTTCAGCGTGCGATCTTCGCGAGGAAACGGCGTTGTCGGCGATCCTTTCCAGAAAACTTTCCAGAAAACTTTCCAGAAGAGAAAAACCCCAAACCGTTTGTCGAGGACAAAACTCAGTCGGGAGCCAAGCGATGATACGAGCCGTGCGAGATAGCCCGACGCGCGCGAACGCGCGATTATTTGTCGTAGAAATCCCCTGGAACACGAACGGCGCGACAGACACTGCTTTTTCCTTTTTCCGAGATTTAATTGGCCGACGATTAGTTCGTGCTCGCCGGCTTCTGCTTCGGCCAACGTCTGTTTATAGTTCACTCGTTAGCTCCGTCGCTTTTAATTGCTCGACATCGCGGGGAGAAGCGGCTGGCTACTGGTAAATACGCAGCTCCAAAACCGTGCTCCTTGCGCCGAGTTAATTTACGGATCTTAAGCACGCGGCTCACCATCGTCAGCTACCCGGTAATTTAGACCTGCATAAAATTAAGATTTTATACCGGCGACAGCCATTAAGTTACAATTTTTAACGTTATCCTCGTTACTGTTACCCGATACTCGTACACGGTCCTATTCGCTATTCATCCGTGCGTCTTCTGTCGACGATCGAGAGAGACACACCTTATTCCCCTCCGTGGTGTTATCCCAGTGGCGAGGAAACTTTTCGTGCGGCTCGAGGAGCGCGATACCTAAAGTTAAAAATCCGTAAACTCGTTTCCCCGTCATTGATGAAAGGGACTGTACGCACGCGATGATAATATACGGAGAGAGAAGCGTGGAGCCGGGCCACCGTGTACGTGACACACGTCGTCTACGTGGGTGCTGGACATTTTATGACTTTCGGTGCTCTTGGAAAAAAGCTCGTGGAGGCCTCGCGGGGTCCTCCTCTCCCACGAGAGCCTCTCGCGCCGCGCGCGTTTCTTTGCCTCTTTCGAATCTCCCCGTCAGATTTTTATCGACGACGGCGAGCTTCGTTAAACTCGCATCTGATGCGAGCACGTCTTGCCTCGCAGTTACCTATCTCGCGCCCGCCATTGTCGTTGCTCCGTTCGCTCGATTCACGTCGGGCCCCCCTGGTTAATTAATAATTTCCATGAAAATCGTATTTAGCTGCTTCTGCGTGGTTTCATCCGAGTGGGCGGGCGAACCGACGAAACGCTTTCTTTTCTCGATTCGTAAATCACACGAGCCAGGCCAATTAAGACTGACAATACGTGGCGTAGCGGGCGCGCGTCGGGGGCAGCGCCGCTAAATTGGAAGAAATCTAGACGCTTCGGTAACAGCTGTTCAGACGATACCCGGAAGATTGTACGCGCGTGAACGCGAAACATCGCGGAATCGCCTGGATGTATCGCTACGACAATTCCACGCGCGATGCGTGAAAATGTATTCCCACTTCCAAGGAAATGCATCTAGCGATATCGATCGAGAAACTGGTCTTTTCGCGCAACGATCGGTTCTAGTCAAAATATATTAAAAGTATATTTAAAAGACTAGAAAAAAAATTGAAAAAAATATTAAAGTACGTATAATACCTGGACTACGAATTTAACCGATAGGCCGTCAAATATTAGAAAAAGATAGCGTTTCCATTCCCTCTACTTCTCTGTTTCCTAGGCAATGAAAACTTCTCTATCGTACCATACGTCGTTGGAAAAATACAGGTTGGTAACCGTACAGTAGGTAACTCTTTCTAATCTTCCACGCGGCATGACTACGGGAGATATTCAGAACACGCGGTCTAAGTATTATACGTCTATGGTTCTAATTCGAGCGCGTATCAGTTCGGCAAACAGAAGATCGACCGCTGTAATTTACGCGCAAACCTGCCAAGGAAAATAAAAGTGACGAGCTGAATACATTCTACTTGCTCGGGCGATCTACGATCGGTGACGGCTGATTTTCGTCGTTCCCTATATTTTTTTTTTTTTTTTTTCGTCGTGTCTCGTCGCAGCACTTTTGGGGTCTCGGCTCTTCCGCTCGTTAGACGGAGCGAGTCGGGGCTTATGCTAATTTTAAGCAGTCCCCCTCCAGTCGATTCTTTCCTAAAGCTATTAGGCGATCATCTCGGATAATCCCGCGATTCCGGGTTTACTCGGGACACGACTTTTCTAAGTTTTCTTTCTCCGCGCCCGAGGATTCGTCGAAAGCCGACAGCAGCTCGCTCGCTCTTTCGCATGGCTCGCGTATTCCGACTTTTTTCCACGACAAGACCTATATATTCTCGCTCGTCCCCGTGAAACGAAATTAAAACTCTGGCTTACAACTGAGACACTGATAAAGAACACGAACTATCGACACACGATCGAGAAATCGAGCATACGGGTGAAACGTCTAGAAAATTGCCGATCATCGCGACATACACGTTACAGAAGCAATTATTCGAGAATTAACTCGGAGATTTCATCGGGTGTCGGGCTAATGAACCCTCTTTAATCTTTGCCCCTCGAAACGGTCGTGGTTTCGAAGTAATTTAACGGTAGGTAATAGAGATACAAGGGTGGCTCTCTCGGTTTCCCCGCGCGCGAACGACCGGTCAGGTGCGCATCGTTTCCCCCCGTCGCCGTCCCACGAAGACGCACCTGTCTCCGACGCGAAGCAGCCTGTTTCGTTTTATAGAGCGGTAGGTCTAACTATCGTTCATCTATCAAATTGGCCCGAGAGATAAGAGAGAATAGGGGAACCCGGTGAGAGGGCATCCGTGACCGTACACACCCTGGCTGTTATTTGGTCTGCGTCACCCTGCCGCGTCGTCTCGCTCTGAATTCCCTCGTCGGCCTTACGCCACGGCAATCTCACCTGCTCGCCAAGCTAAACGACTACTTTCACGATGATTCCGAGGACGATCGTCGAGACATCGTGGTACGTCGACTTATCGCAAAGGCGCGTCTGTAACGACTTTTTATCCCCTCGCGGTGCTCTCCGCCCTTTTCCTTCCCCCCCTTTACGACAACCGTCACGCGCGTTTCTTTGATCTTGCGGATAATATTTCGTGCCGTTGCGCGATTCTCGCGATAGCCAGATCGCCGGTGGAAGTCACTTTTGCTGGCAAAGTGGCGAGGAACAGGCGAAACGCAATTTCACTTTCGACGCAGGTTCGAAATCGAGTGATTCCGTTTGTTTGTTTCGTAGGTGGATATTCGTAATGTCACTCCAACCGTGGAAGAGGCGATTCGTCGATGGCCCATATGATCGTTCGAAGATGATCGCAAGGTAAGTTACGACGGCGCGAAATTGACTTACCGCCGGCCGAGAAAAACTCGCGAGAATCGGAAGGATATTTTCGCGCAAAGTCAAACAGTTTCGCGGCGGACAAAGGTTTCGCGATACGGCTGCGCTAATAGATCCAAGGCGCGGAGAGATAGAGGGAGACTGTTATAAAACTTGGCCGCGAGATATTCAAATGAGTCCCGCAAAACTTCTCGCCGCGTGACACTCAGAAGTAATCCGAATGTTAAGTCTCGCGGCCTTCGTTTCGCGGCGAGTTTCGTCGGTAAGCGCGCATATAAATTACATTATAAACCGCCTCGGGGGCCTCGTAAACTTAACTCATAAATATCAATCTACGAACGACGTTTTCGATCAGCGGGCACCCAGTGGTAGGCATCGTCGAAGAAATCTTTCGAACGTTTTTGTCCCATCGTGATACGACGTTACGTCGGGCTAATAGGCGCGTCGCGCGAGTCCAACGCCGAGCGTAAAAAGAGTCTACGGTCCGAAAAGGGAGGAAAAAAAAAAGAACACGGAAAAACGAGGAACTGAAAGGTACCGAGAAGATGCCGGCTGGAGGACGCGCAACGTGGGAATAATAACTTGATTACTCGGCGATGTTTTATCGAAAAATCGTAAAGCAATTAATAACGTTCATTAAAGACGACCGCGATGTTAGGCTCGCGGTCGCGCGCGCGCGCGCGCAAGCGAATGGCTGCGCGTTCACGATAGCAATTCCGTTTGATAGGTAATTAGACGAGGGAGCCGGGTAATTGCGTTAATTGAGACCGAGACCGGGCGCGTTGGAACGTTGCGCAAAGCTTGGCTAGATATATGGAACCGTTCCGTTCCACACGCACGCCGTGGTCTCTCTAATCGCTCTAATCGTAGTTCTTCTCGCTGGAAATAACGTCGAGATCGGCTGCGATCGCGTCTCGAGCGTTCCCGACGCGTACCTCGTTTATCTCTGTTAGACCGCGACTCGAAGAAAATCTCCTTTCGTGGAACGAGCGTTTTGCAACGATCCGTACGCGTTTCGCGTTCCACGAGAAAAGAACGAAAAAAAAAAAAAAAGAAAGAAAAACAGATATTCGAGGACGGTTTTTTCGGAGGAATAATTCTTTTCTCGTTCGCCGTCGAGATTCTCTTCTCGATCGGCCCGTCGTCGTTGATTCTGTCTGTCTGAAAATCAACGAGCCAGCCGATCGATCGGGGTGGGACAAAAATGGGAAACGCGTGCTCGTACAGGAAGGATCGATTGCTTCCGTTCCGGCGCGATCCTTAAAGGGCATCGATAACCGGAGTCTATACACCGGTTGTTCGCGCGAACCTAACGCGTTCGTAGATTTTCAGTGAATCGTACGGGAATTTAACGCGTCCCCGAAGATATATGGTTTTCGTTGGACGTGATATATTTCACGGTAGGTTAGATCTTAACGATCGAACGACTGTTTGCACCGTGAATGCTCGTCCCTTAATACGATCCCGTAGGATTTATCGCAGGAACTTTCGTTATCCACCTGCCGTTCCTCGAGACTCCTCGAGTTTGTATTTCACGCTCGGTATCTAGTAACGCAAAGTTCGCGACCTTATATGCATTTCGTAACCTTCGACGCGGCATTTCAAGAGAAAAAATATCATTTGTTTGTTGCCTCGTTACCTAGCGAGACACCCTGTGCATTTTTGCACGGGAGACGGAAAAGCCGCGGTGCGCGTAGACACTTCGAACGACGACATCCTGTACATCTGCCCCGAGCCTCTTGTTCTCCTCGTCTCGCTCTTCCCCCATTATTTTTCTTTTCTTTCTATTCTTTTTTTTTTTCTTTACCGTAGAATGTCGCGCAATAAAGCCGCACCATCGGCATAATACAGCCGTAAGCCCTTCCGATATTTGCCATTTTATGTAACGTCTACTTACGCGCGCGGAGCCTCATATTAAAGTCAAGCAAGAAATACGGCAAGCCACGGCTGTACGTACGTGTCGTCGGGACCGATGGAATCACGTAGATACGAGCCCTTCTTTCCTTTCGACACCTGTTTTACTTCAGCCTGTCGTATCTCGCTACAATTAATATTCGCAATAGCAGCCGTCCCCCGTTAATACGGTTACGGTATTCGACCTCCGACGCCTCGGCATATTATTAGTCCTGGGAATCTCGGTAAATCGACGTGCAGCCGTTCCGAACGGTATTTTCATTCATTTTCCGGTTGATCTTAACGCTCGCCGTCTCGTCGCGACCGATCCGAGATTCCGTGTGAATCGAGCGGCGCGATCGAGAACGCGATCGCCGCGTCGAGACGTAAAACCAACGGAGAGAACACGTTGGGTCTACGGAGCGCGAGCACTCACGGGTTACGCGGCGCGATAGTTTGCTGGAAGGGGAAAGAAGGAAAGAAAAGAAAGAAGAAAAAGACACAGCAACACCCAGGGACTGAGCACCCGGGCTTTGTGTAATACGCCCCGTTATTGAAGGCAGACTATCGCCGTCGCGTCTGGTTGGCCGAACGTTTTGCGCGGCGATAACGCGGTTTCCCGTGGTCTCGCGAGCGCACGCCACGCGGGACGGCCAAGAAAAGACAAGTATCCAATTAAAGCCAGGGTGGAGGAATGCTTTCGCGCGAGCGCGCTATCTTATATCGTGTCCGCGAGACGTATCGCGGCGAAAACGAGCCCGGGAACACCCGTGTTTAACATAACCAGAATCGTTATGACTCAATCCGGCTATAATTGGCGATATATCGGGGGATGCGTATCGGTGACACGGGGCCCGACAAATTCCGCGCAAGCCCGATAATCTCGGGTGCATACTCTATTATTAATATTAAACTATCTGATCGGTCGATCGGGAATACATTTACATTCGTAAAGGTGCCGGTGTTGCGCGAGGAGGGGAGACAAGCTTGTCCTCGATCGTTCCTGCTGGATCCGCCTCGAAACGGTTTTTCGTCCTCTCGAAGACGCCCGTGAATCGAGACTCCCCTCTCGATTAATCGACTAAGTTTCACGATGTCCCCGCTCTTACGCGACCGAAACGAAGACACGAGGATGAGAAGACTGTGGATGGAGTCGCGGTGTTAACTTTGTAAAACGTTTACACGAGTATCGATTACGCGACCCCGTTATTACCGCGATTATTCGCATAAATATGAATACAATATATCTACGGAACACGCGTTTTGTTCCCGTGGCTCCGATGGAGCCAACGATTTCCTTATAGCCGGCTAATTTACGGAATACCGCCGATATTGATCGACGAATAAGATACCCCTAATAAAACGAAATGCTTCGCGATTATTCTTCTGTGCGTAGTTGTTCCGCGGAGGGAACGATTCCGTGGAAAAGGCTGGAAGGGCGGTCCCCGTCGTGTCCGAAAGAAGAATCGCGACTCGAAACGAAAATCTCGGTGCATGTCCCCCCCCCCCTAGCCCGCCATACATCCTGGCGAGCATTAATTTTGCACCGTTGTCACCGGCAAGAACATGCGTATTCATGAGACACAGCGAGGCTTATAAACGACGGGCTATTAGCGATACGATTAAAATGTGCATTTCTCGGTGTTGTTTTAAACGCTACCCCGGCCCAGAAGCCCCGACCCGTAACTCTGACCACCACTGCGCTTATATACAACCGCCTAGCCTACTTCACCTACGGTACCGACCTTTTATATTCCCCCCATTCCGTATCCCCGCTTTATCTACCGGAAGAAATAATAATCCGTCCGTTTCGTTCGTGGTCCCACGTTAATCTAAAAGCTCTGTCTTCCGAATTAATTCCGCTTTTTGTCATTTTACTCGTCGAATCATATCGCTTCGACCGAACAGATTTCTCTTCGTGTCGTTCTCCACGATTCGTCTGTCGATATTCTCGAAAAATGTGATTGTTATTTCGTCAATTCGTATTTTCATTCCCCGAATTTCCATAGTGCCGCGGGCATCGTCGAAACAGCTCAGAAAAAAAATACGAAGTAACAATTGCAACGACTCGACAGAGATTGCCGAACGTATCCAGCGGCCATATCCATTGCAACTCCAAAAATGTCGCGATTGTTACTCCGTCGGTTCGTATTTTCATTCCCCGAACATCCATAGTGCCGTGGGCATCGTCGACCCAGCTCAGAAAAAAAAATACGATGTAACAATTGCAACGACTCGACAGAGATTGGCGAACATATCCAGCGGTCATATCCATGCAACTGCGCCCCGCGGAGGAAAACCGGCCGCGTGTTGTCCGACGGTGCCCCCTCCCCCCCTGTCCGCATCGTTGCAAAACGGATGCATTTCGGATGCAGCTGCGAGTTCGTTAGAGCGTCTAACGCGCGTGTGCGAGCTCGAATTGTTTATGCGCGGTGGATGTAGCCGGGCACCGCCGCGCCGCGGAGCGCACGTACGCGTATCAGAGAGCGATGAATATGCATACCTTAATTCGCGGGGCTAATTGAATAATTTGTAAAACGCGGCAACCCGGGTTGGGCCGGGCCAGACCGGAGCCGGGCCACGACCTTTTTGCATTCCCCGTTGCTCCGACTCCCCCGTTCCCCGTTCCCTTGTCCAAACCGCCCCCCCCCTGTCCTCCTCCCTTTCCAACGTGTCCTCCGCCGTCCGAGCAGAATGATATCCTTACAGTCCTCCCGAACATCACCTGGTATGGATAGCTCGCCTAAAATGCGGTTTGGCGCCCGTCGGTGCTCCGAGAACGCGACACCCGGGGTTCCCGTCCCCTTTCACCGACGCAAACACACGCGTGCCCTCTTCGACCGGATGACCACAATTCTATTTGTCAGGAAAGTCGTTCCCGTTTCTTCTTTCATTCGATGAATTCGTCGCCCGCCGCCTCCTGGTTTTTTCTACATCAACATCGAAAACGTTACCGACGTTGCTCTCCGTAGATTCGCTCTTGAGATTATTATCGGTTCGTTAACGGAACAATTCCACGCAGCCAGTCGGTTTATTCTCGCGTTACGTTAACTACCGCGATCGTTTATCGCGAACACGTCGACCGGAGC